CACAATAATAGCTACCTCCTTGGATTGTTGTGGGGATTAGAGATGATGTCAGAGAGAAGCCCAGCACGATGCCGCTCAGTGTGTAGTAGTAACTCAATAAACACAAGCAGTGATTCGCTGTGGTTACAGGGCTGTTTATGTGTGTTGTAAATCAAAACAGTGCTCCAGAACTACTGGGGTCATAGTAAGTGATATGTGGCCGATCAGCGCCCCAGGAGCCTTTCTTGATTTGACCCACCACTCTGCATGCTGGGGTTCTTCTGGCCTGTGGAATAGGACATGCTGTTCGTGAACCTGGGCATGATGGGCTCTCTCTTGCTCTCTGCCAAGGGCAGTGATAGTGGTTGTAGGGACAGTGAAGATGGAAGGGGGCCGGACATCTGCCCCTCAGGGCTTCCATGGGGAGCAAAGTCTGAACATAGGCAACCTGGTGTCTTTGAGATTTAGGCAGGTTACACGGTGACTTGGATTCCCACCTCCCACATCTCTGGGTACATTTTAAAGATTCCTAAATTATAGCTGGGCATAGTGGCCAGTGCCTATAATCTTAGTATTCTGGGAAACTAAGGCAGGAGAATTAAAAGTTTGAACCCAGCCTGTGCATTGTAGCAACTTGATGAGACCATTTCTCAAAATAAAAAATAAAAAAAGGGTCAGGGGTATATCACAGTATGAGGGCCCTGGGTTTAATCTCCAGAACCACAAATATATAAAAAACTAATGATTGAATGAAATAAGACCCCATTATGCCCCAACTTTATACCAGATCCCTTAGCCATGGTTTTGCTTTCCATGGTTTCAGTTACCAGAGGTCAACCATGGTCTGAAAATGTTAAATTGTAAATCTCACATTTTTAAGAAAGCAGGAGGGAGAACATATATTCACACAAGTTCTATTACAGTACATTGTTATAATTGTTTTATTTTAGTTTTAGTTTTGTTAATCTCCTTCTGTGCCTCATTTATAAATTAAACTTTATCATAGTGTAGGAAAACTAGTGTATATGGAATTTAGTAGTATCCAAGGTTCAGGCGTCCCATGGGCATGTTGTACAACTGTACACACTGAGGAACACAGGAAGTCAGACACTTGCTACCCATCTCCTAAGCTCAGGAAACAGCCTGAAAAACCTAATTTGCAGTCTACCTGCCTTGCCTGACCAGGCTCCCCACATCTGACTCAACCTCCCCTTTAGTGCAGGCCCCAGTCTACCACCCACAGGTCTGGCCCTGGCGGGAGCTGCTGGTAAGGAGAGGGTGGGGAGGCAGGGCCCGGCACCCTGATGGGTCAGAGGAGCTGACAGAGCTGCCTGGGGCAGTAGATTAAACTCACAACAGACTTTGTGAACATTGAAATGGCCAGGTAGGAGCTCGAAGGAAGCAGTTTGGTTTTGGACATGAGTGTGGATCCAGCGGCATGACAAGGGGAGCGCCTTGCCACTCCAAACCCAGAATCAGGCACAGCCTTCCAGCTGATGTCACACTTTCAGCGCTCTCTTTCCATTCTTTTCTGTTCATTGGTTTTTTCACAACCTGCCTTCTTGGGAGTGGCCTTAGACTGACAATTCATGGCCATAGGACTTTGGCCCTATCCTACAGGATTTCATGGGCAGAAGCACCTTGGAGGTTATTTTATCCAGGCTGCAGTCCTACAGTTGAGACCCTTCGTGCTTCCTCATGTGACTCCCTGGACATGGCTAGCAGGAATACAGTCAGGGCACTGGTTTCTATTTCCTGTCATCAAGCCATGGCAAGGCCTGAGAGGGTCTTCTGCTCTCCAAGATGAGTTGAGCACAGTCTAACTCTCACTTCTTGCTTGCCTGGGCCCTGGGGCGGGAACCAACCGGAGAAAATTCTCCCTCCTCGAGGGGCTAGTGCCCTTGTTAGTGGCCCTCCCTCACAGGACACCTCCTCCGCCTCTGGTGTCCTCATATGCATGTGGGCTTTTTCCAGGCTTTTATCCAGACGGGACCCTAGAGACTCTATAGCAGAAAAGGCTTTTGAACTCAAGACCCACCGCATTTTTTAGATGAGGATACTGAGAGTCTGTCACTTGCCCAAGGTCACACAGACAGTGGGAGAGCATTGGACCTAAACTCAGGCTCCTGATTAGAAGCCAGAGCTCTTTTCCTGTCACCTACTGACCCTGGGGACCAGGAAAGCAGATGCCACCCTTGTGTGATATCATCTAAGATCTCATTTGCTTTTTATTGAAGGGGGCAGCCTTCTCTCTTGTTGTGTTGAACTTCAAGTCAACTAATACCACTAAATTGCTTTATAACTTTATTTTGTTCCAATTATAAAAATGTTCACTGTAAAAAAATAGAAAAAAAAAGAAAATATACAAAAATCTAGAGTATATATTAGAGCAGCCTGTAATCCCAGCACTCAGGGAGGCTGAGGCAGGAGGATCACTTTGAGTTCCAGACCAGCCTGAACTACATAATGAGTTCCAGGTCAGTCTCAACTACATAGTGAGACCCTGTCTCACCTCCCCCCCATTAAATAAATAAATAAGAGCAGCCCTTACAGTTGTAAAGCTTCCCCCTTGCTCTTGCTGTGTTGTTTTAAGGAGAACAATAGGGCTATGCCTTTTCTGATAATGCCCCACCCTCCTGCTGTCTCTAAACTTGTTTTGTTCTCAGTTCCTGCTTCTTTTCCAGCCCCACTCTGAGGCTCCCTCAGTGTCTGTGGTGACACTGACGGAGCCTCAACAAAGGCTGGGAATTGGTGGAGGATCTGCCTTCCGCCACACTCCTGTCCTCCAGCTCTGCCTTCTACCCAGCCCAGGCACCGTTTTCCCCAGCCCGAGCCCCTCCTCTTCCGAGAAGCCTTTGTCTTTCAGATTCCTTCTGGGGACGCACCATTTGCCCTTAGTTACATATTGACCTCCACTAATCTCTTTTCTCCAACCCTCGCACTTCTTCTGTCTCCCCCATGGCACCCATCAGCTGCAGTCTGGAGAACATTAAGGGCCAGCCCTGCTGGGAAAGGACTCTCCTTAGACTTGAAGACCTGTGCTGACTTCATCTGAGTGGGGAGGGCAGAGGCTGGAGGGAGCTCTAAGAATCCCCTACCTTCACTGGCTCTGGCTTCCTATGATGTACTTTCTTCTGAAAGTGACATAGCAGTTAACCATCAGGGACACCAGCAATGGTTCCATTCCCAAGGATGTGTGGAATTTGGTTGGCCTTTTACAAAAGACCTCTGAGGCCACTATTTAGAGATAGAGCAGGGCCAGGACTCCTTTCCAGCACTCTGGCCTTCTCACAGCGAACCCAAGGACAGAACGATGATTTTTCTCACCACACCAGAATACCAGCCTTCTCATGCCTCCCAGGGTATATTCCAGTGGCCTAGGCCTTGTGTGATGAACCCTGAACTGGGACTCAGGGATCAGAGTCCCCAGAATGGTCTTGGGTAAATGACAGGCAAAGCCACATTCCCCTCCGGTATGGACATCTAGAGGTCTACCAAGTCCTCTTCCAGCTCTGATCCTGAGCTGGCTGGCTGGTTGCTGCCCCCACTCCACTGTAGCTGGGTGTAAGATCTTGGGCCAGCTCTCCAACTATTCTCTACCAATTTCGGGGGCAACAACATCACCTAGCTTGGGGGTCAGCTGCAGGATGGAGTGGGCTCCATCTGGGAAAAGCACTCTGAATCCCCAGCATGGGACATGGCTATCCCTACCTAGTATACGACCAGAAGTAATGTGAGCTCTGTACCATTGTTGAGAATGTCTTTTTTTTTCCCCTAGTTTTATTTATTGGGTTGGAGCGCTGTGTCCTTTTGTCTAACACTGACAAAGTGCTGGGAAAAGAGGCAGAGACTGGCACCTTGAGTCACTGAGAGCCAAAGGCTCTGGGCCAGAGGAAGCCCTCAGTTGGCCTCAGTATTGGGCAGATGAAGACAGCCCAAGGAGAGGCCCCTGCTGCCACCACCTCTGAGCACAGCAGGCTGTGATCACAGACATTTACTGCCTGAGACTCTGGCGGGTCATTTAATGTAGCTAGGTCGGATTCTCATCTTGACTTGAGTCTCCTGGTAACCCCAAAGGGGTGAGGTTTGGATAGAGGGCAGCAGATGTTTTGATCACTTTCCCTGCATGGGGAGAAAAGCCCTTCCAATAAAAAATTAGAAACAGAAAAACAGTTCTCTGATTTTACTAGTTAGAGAAGGTTATAAAATAAGACAGACAACACAGAGCCTCACAACTACCTCAGATCGACGATGAACCCAGGGGTACAGGGATGTAAACATAAATAGACTTTCTGGATATCATTTTATACTCTAGAACTTCCAGAATACAGCTGCTCCCCAGACACACTAAAGACAAATGAAACAAGTCCTCAGAGTTAGTCTATACACAGTTCAGGGACAGTCCAAGAAGCTTCCTTCCTCTTCAGTCAGCCCAGACCTGGGCCTGAGCCAGGTCTGTGCAGACCCTGGGCCATCTGGGCAGGGAGGCCAGGTTCGTTCTGATGGGATTCAGCTTCCAGGGGCTTCCCAGTCTGCCAGGTTCCATGGCTGTCTTGAGTCTTGCTTTCCAGCAGGATGATTGCATCTCCTCTGACCCACAAGACACAAACCCACCTTCTAATCCAAATTCTTTCCTGTTATCACAGGAAGCCCAGCCACATGAGGGAACCTGCCCATTCCCTCAGCAGAATCCAACCAGCCCAGCGAAGACACCTTTCTCCACAGGCACTTAAATCTTCAGTCTGGCCATTTGGAAAACAACAACAAAAAGGGCCGGGGATTTAGCTCAGTGGTTTGGTGGCCTGCCTTGCAAGCTCAAGGACCCAAGTTCAATCCCCGGTACCAAAAAAAA